GCCAACCATTTACCATTTATACATTAGGTAAGTTATGTGGAGGCTTCCTATATCCCTCTTGCTTTCACTATGTCATGTGTGTGTCAAATTCTCCATGCCCTCTTGCCTCATGTGCTCTAGAAAGTTCAGCTTTTTCTGATGTTAAGTATGTGTCCTTTTAGTTTCCATTTTGTCTAAGACTTTGATATTACTCATGTTTTGAACATGGTATTCTCAGCATCCATCTGTAGAAGCATATTTCAGTTGCTTCTAGCTAGTTGACTACTTGCCATTATTTATGCGAGGGATGATTTTTCCACAAGCCTATAAACATAGTCCAAATTTAATCATTGACACCGTAAATAAATGTCCACCAATACTATCACTGGTAACACTAGGATCAAGGTCTTGTATTTCTTCTTCTATATGCTGTATCCCATCAGGTCATAGGCAATCATGGCTCTCCACAATTTCCTGTGCTTTGTAACTTAGTAAATTTTATCTTTTTGTTATCTCTTTTAAATAGGCTACATGCAGTTTTTCTCTGTCCTTTTTGACTTCAGACTGCCTTGTGAGTATCAAATTTTCCAAGCCCTCTCTCCTCATTATGTGACTTAAAATTTTAACTATCTCTTTCTGATGTTAAGTATGTGTTCTTTTTGTTGCCATTTTCTCTATAACTTTATCATTGATCACAGGTTCAGTCCGTGTATTCTCAACATGTTTCTGTAGAACCACATTTCTATTACCTCAAGATTTTTTTTTCATCTCCAATGATATTGTCCAGGTCAGTAAATAAATATCCACTGAATACTATGAATGCTAACACTAGTATCAAGGCCAATAAACAAATATCCACCAATTCTTAACATTGGTATCAAGGTCAGTACTAGCCTTGTAGTTGCGAGTTTTATGATGTCATTCCTAGAACTATTGCTCACTTCAGCTTATTCTCACTCTTTAGATCTGGTGTCAGATTTTACTATCCAGCAGCCTATTTATTATAGCAGCACAGTGTAAAGTAACCAGACTTTCTTAAAAGTTCAAAACACTTATAAGTATAGTTTTATTTGAAAGGTAATAAATCCAAAGATGCTAACCTTTTTGATTGTTATCACACTTAACACTACTCAAAGGTCAAAGTTAATAGATTTGCTTTACTCTTATCATAGGTACTGATTATTGGTGACATTTTTATTGCTATGAACTAAGAGCAGTGGCATATATTTCCAAAATCTATCTATCTATCTATCTATCCAAGGACTGCAAGCATTCATTTTAGATCATTTTTCATTTCAGAAAATATACCTGATCAAATATACATGTATCAAGGAAAGTGAAATGAACGTTCTAACTATTGACTGTAAGAAGAGTATATGGTCATTGGCGTGAGGGTCAGCTTAAGGTGTGAGCTATAAATTGGACACATCAGAACTGGGTCGTATCACAACAGATTATGGAAAATGTAACATATCTGAAGGCACATTAAAATAGCAAATGATGCCTTTCATAGAATAAAATTATTAATAGACAGAAGAATACCATGGAAAAAACATGTGATCAACAAGGAAGTTTTAATGGCATCTAGAAAGGGATAATTGAAATTTGAAGAATATAATGTAGAAGGTGTGCTTGGAGAATTTAAGTCACAAGAATACAGGAGATACTGAATGCAGGAGGGGCATATCAAATAACCTTCTTCTCTGTGCCATCTTTCTACAGGAATTTGGCAAACATGTCTCTCCACATCTTCCTGTTCTTTGTACCTCTTTGTAAAGTCTGTTTTTACTATCCTAATTCCTGTTCTGACAGCCATTTACAAAAGTTTGTTAGGTAGGTTATGCACTGTTTTCCTCTATCCCTCTTGGCAACAATATGTCCTGTGAGTGTCAAATTTTCTAAGACCTCTTTCCTCATTAAGGGCTATAGAAATTTATGGATAGCAGAGTAGGGATTAGGTGGGATGTTAAGGGAATAAAGATTATCTTACCCACATATCCCCATAAACTGTACCTCATTCTGTAACTCTCTACCTCCAGTGGTTATTGGGCTCTGTACAGGTTAAACATTATTGTAAAGAAACAGGAAGTTGTGGAAAGAGAAAGGGGTATAAGATACTGTGATAAAGGGACACTCAGTTTTCGAGTGGAGCTATGGATAATTAATCTTTCGAAGTAAAGCATGTTTAAATTATTCAAATTAGTTTGCTTTAATATAAGTGTTTTCATTTATAGCAAGGGGACAAGGTAGAGGATTAATTTTTATCTTTACTTAAATTCCGTTTTAGTTTGAAGTGCAGAACATAATCTTTTTTTATATTTTATAAGTACAACGCAGTTGTAATATTATTTAAATATCTTGTCTTTTTATTCGATGGCACGAGTAAATAATAATAATAATAATAATAATAAATTGTTCTGACGAGTACAGATCACACCTTACGAAGGTGTAAGCTGTACTCGACTGTACACTTTATCTATACAGGCTGTACACCTTATCTATGTAAAATATGTGTTGTTTTTTTTGTTTTTTTTAATTGGTCATTAGAAAATGTCATAATGTAATTTCTGACCTTAGATAAATAGGATTTATTTTTATTAAATCAATTTTTTTTCTATTTTGTATGCCTACTTTTAGGCCCTAATTATTGGCTGATTAGGTGCCCTTAGGCTTAAATTTCAGGGCCTCTAATCACATAGAAGCCCCTAAAGCAACTATTTTAATGAGTGAATTTTTCAACAAAATCAATGTTTTTCTTTAAGTGTTTGTTATTAAAATAAGTCCATCTAAATGGCAAAATTATAAGCCAATAAGTTGAAGTAACTAATATTGGACTTGGAATATCTTCTAATACCTATTTCATATGGCCTCAAAAGTCTCCTGTATATGGTCAAATTTCAAAATTTTCTTTGGGACTTGCATCACCCAAACCCTTAGCTGTATTAGCACATCCTCACCAGAATCTATTCACAGTAGTTGGATCCTTGAATCTGTTGTTGCTGGTTGCAAAGGGGCCTCTATATCTGTCCAAGATTCAGGGGCCCTGAAAATGTAGGTTCATCACTGATTAGAATTCACACCAGGATTCATTATTGTGGCCACAATATTAACAACATTAGATATGCAGATGACACAGTGGTTATACCAGACATAGAAAGGAAAATACATGAAATCCTAGAGAAGATAAAGCAAGAAAAAAGAACTAAACATCAATTCTAAGAAAATAGCATGTAATGTTGTCAACAAAAGAAAAGCCCAAAATTCGAATTACAAATTAAAAATATCAAAATCATGCAAGTACAAAAATTTAAATATCTATGAAATGTTTTAAGAAATGATGGAAAATGTGACACTGAAATCTGAAAATACATTGTGATAGCAAAAGATGTCTTCTAAAATCTAAACAAAGTATTAAAAAACAGGAAAATTTCATTAAAAACAAAGAAAAGATTACTGAACTGTTATGTAATATTGATCCTCCTATGTTGCAGTGAATGTTGGACCATTTCATCACAGATGGTGTAGAGAAATACGGCAACCAAAATGTGATTCTTCACTGGTTATGCGGAAGGATGCAAGGAATACCATGGTCTGAACATATGAGCAACAATAAATCTTTAGAGAAAACGGGAACAAAAAGACACATACTTAAAATCAGAAAGAGGCAGTTGATATTTCTCGGACACGTAATGAGGAGAGAAGGCTTAGAATATTTGACACTCCCAGGACATAAGAAAGGCAAGAGAAATAGAGGAAAACAGTGAATAACCTACCTGATAAACTTGTGTGAATGACTGGCAGAACAAGGATTAGAAGTAGTAAAAAAACAGACTTTACTAAGAGCTACAAAGAAAAGGAAATGGTGGAGAGTAATAATTGTCTATGAGACAAGACATAGAGAAGAAGAGGAATAAGAAGACTTTTCTTTGTGTATCAGCATAATCTGAAATTCTTTTCAAAATACACTTTCTATAATCATCATTTAAATAAAAAGTAAATGCATATCTATTTAGAGTGTGCAGTGTTGTGTGGAGCCCCAGTATATTTAATCTTTTCCTAGACCATGTCCTGTGCATTTACAAACAGACGTGATGAGATATTAACTGACCATTTAAGCATTCGGTTCCAGATCCAAAATGAATCAATTAATACAAGAGTTAACATGGCCAAAATGTCCCGATGATGAAGCGAGGTTATGCTTATGACATGGGTATCAAATTTGGGGTAAAAATAATCTTGAACAAAAAATCAACCTCCTCTACCAAGTATTCCAAAAAATAAGACTCAAAATAAACATTTCCAAAGCAGAAATCATGACCAGGAATTGGAAAGAAAACAGTGATGACACCTATCCTGGGTCCCAAATAAAAATGTGAAATTAATAAATACGAAACACTTCAAAAAATTTGATATATGGATCAGTCATAACAAATTTAGTACAGGGTATAAAAAAAGTCTATGCTAAAGGTAGTTTTACTCAAACCTTGTAAATGATGAGAAATCCCAAACATTAAAATGAAAACTCATGTTATGTTCTTAAATAGCCTCATCAGATCAAGACTTTCATATAGATATGCATGGCACCAAAACCCGTTCAGAAATATGCAAACTAACTGATATATACCGTCACTTTCTAAGATCAATGGTCAAAAATTGCTTTCAATGGGTGAAGTCTGTGGATCTTGAAAAAGACTGTATTTCTTTGAGCATTTTTGACTGGTTATACAGAATCACAAAGAAACCACATCACTTGAAGACATTAAACAGCAGTAACAACTAAAATAGATAGCACATGTAACTCAGAGAGAAAATAATGACATAATCAAGATGTTTACATTCTACACTTCTTTAAATAAGAAGTGAGCCCTCATCAACACTGGAAAGATCGATACTAGCTACTGGACTTGAGAAACCTATTTTCCTTAAATAAATTGCTTTAAGAGAAAGACCACTGGCTTCTTGGTAAATGAATACTGAGTATTTCCTTATAAGGAAATGGTTAATAAGAAATGAAAACATTAATGCAAGAATTGATTAAAAAGAGATTCAATGGTGGTAATCAAGAATTGAAAAACTGACAGAAAGAATATAATGTGAATGGTAAAAATGGTAATTTTAATCTCTTACGCTGAATCTTTTTTTTTTTTTGTATTCTTACTCCCGCTTTTTCAAATAACCATTTCTATCTTTCTATCCTTTTAGTCTCTCTCATCCTTCTTTCAATTCTTCCTTTGAATCATTCTCTTCTTCATTCGAATATTTGTCTTTTTTCTTTTCCTTATTCAATTATTGCTTTCAATATTCTTGTGTTTCCTTTCAATTTTTCTTTTCTTTATTCAATTTTACCCCCACTTTTAAAAAGTTTTGTTTATTCAATATATCTGTTCTCTCTTTCCCTCTTTTTTAATCCTCCTTTCCATTTTTTCTTTCTTCTTTCAATCTTTATTTCAGTTTATCATTTCCAAGTTTCAATCATTTTATTATTACTTTCAATCTTTTCTCTTTATCATTCAAGTCTTCCTTTCAATCGTTCTGTTTTTCATTTCAGTCATTCATTTGTTTTTACAATTCTTTTTCTTCTTTTCATTCTTTGAATTCTTTTCAGTCATTTGATTCTGTCTGTCAAGTCTTTTATCTTTTCTTATTCATTTTTTCATTTTTCAGTCTCTTTTCTTTCAATATTTTAACTCTTTCATTTTTCAGTTGTTCCTTTTAGTCTTTTCTAATTATTTTTTGTTAGTTTTATCTTTATTTTTTTCAAATTCTTCATTTCCTATATTCCTCTCTTTCATTGCTTTTTTTTTTTCAAATTTACATTTTTAATATGCTCTTCTTTCAGTTGATCCTATCCTAGAAACATATTGCTTCTTCACATCCCTCATTCTTCTTCTTGCAACTACTGCCATTTTATAAGAATTTTCTCTTTTCTCATATTTTTCCACTTTGCTCACACACAAGAACTGGACATTTTCCTGACATTTATAAACATAGCAAAAATAAATCAATAAATAAAGGGAACTGATACATCTTTATCCAAAGTCTGTGGTTTCTGGAAGATGGAATATCAGAGTTTTGTAGCCAGAGTGGGAATCACCAGAAGACCTTATGACTGTCTCTTTCAACTTCCACACCAATCACAAGAGTGATTGCCTCATATATCTATTGCAATCCCCATTTCATCATGATTGATGGTTATTTTATCGACATCAACAAATGGCTAGAGAGAAAAGGAAAGTAAACACATTATTTTTTGTGCCATCCTCAGCTGTCTATGGTGGATGTTCTTCCAATGACCAATCATTCAATCAACTTGTCTTTTAATGCCAGAGATCCAAAGCTGCTGATACCGCTTATCGAAACTCTTTTCTTTGTGGAAAAAAGAAAGATAAATGCAGTAGACCAAAGAAAGAGTTGCTTACATGAAACAATTAATAAAAATCTTTTATAAATCAATTGATTCTTTTATTCAAATTTGCTGGTTATTATCTTTTTCTTTTTTAAATTGTTTTTTATTCATTATTCTACAGATATCTTTAATATTTATATGTTTTTTTATTAGTTCCCTAAGTATTTTTCTTTCCTTATTTTTCCTTCAGTCAATGCAAGTGTTTTGTACAATTATATAAAATGACAGTCTACCTAATACTATTTGACAATTTATTGAATTTCTTTTTCATCTTATTACTTTTCTCATTCAAATCCATTTTTTTTTTTTTCATGCAAATCAATACCTCATAAGGTAATGATAAAAATAAAGAGACAGTTTTGTTTGTTTAGCGGCATATTAACTCCTTATGGGTCATTTACTGCTGAAATTTAATTTTCTTGGGAGATATGTAATTTCATTTACAAATAAAAGTATTGCAGGTAATTTTTCCCCCAAAATATATTGCCGGTATTTTTACTATGAAAATGTATTTTTATACTTTCATAGTGTTTTGGCCCCAATTTGGGTGTTAACTGTTTGCATTAGTCTTTCATTGCTCTGTGACAACTTCCATGGAAAATGGTCAGACAAATTACATTCCTTGGTCCTGCCAGGTATAACATTCATAGTAGTAACAAACCACTCACATTCTTTCTGTATTCCAGTGGTGAGAAGTTCCATTCAACCATATTCTTCACATGAATCACTACACTGTGGAATAGACTTCCAGGAGGATGTTTCCCTGATCACTACGATCTTAGCCTGACCATGTCTAGAATTAACCCTCCTATCCATATAAATTACCCCTTAATGTAACCTTCTATTTTGAGTGGCTCCAGAGCCTTGTACAGGGTGAAGGTTACTGTAAAAAAAAAAAAGATAGTTGGAACCATAACAGATGCTAACAACCTGGATTAGGGTGAAGCTGGGAACAACAGCAATTAAGAGATGGTTACATGCTCCTCAAAACCACTCAATCAGAAGCCTTGCTGGTGAATGTGGTTTATTGTTGTAAACAGGATGAATAATAACAGCAGTTTCACTACAAGGAAACATTTGGCATTCATTGATTGAGCTGCTAATACTACTCTTGGTTGGTATTTAGAAAATCTTTCTCTTAAAACAATTTTTCAGTAAAATATGTTTCTCATGTCCAGTAACTGTTATCACTTATTCCAGTGTGGATGAGGGTTTCCTTCCTAAACTTTTTATTTGAAGTAGTTTGGAATGTCAAAATTTGTTAATAGGAAAAGTTTTCAGATTTTCTGGGCAGAAAATGAAGTAATTTTTAGCATTTTTTAAAGCCATTTTCTTGTCAATTAAAAGTGAACTGATTAAATTTAAATAATGAAATTTTTCTTTTAACACATACAAATTTGAAGAACAATTTTAAATGGAATTATGTTATATAATATTATTCATTCCAACTAATAATGGTGACAATTGATTGTTGGAAAAGCTTGATTTTGGTTGTAGGGCCACAAACTGAATTCAATAATTTGTTTTGTATTTCTTTGGCTATAAACCTCTGATCAAACAATGTATTAATTAAAGCATTTTATTTATTTAATCACTAAAATCTGGTGAACTTAGTAATTCATAATATTTATGTGCTTGAAATGATGCTATAGATGTTTATTGCTAATATAGCTTCAAGTCATTAACAAATCCTCAGATAAGATAATACTATTCAATTATAAATTATATATTAGTCTCCTGGAAGACCTGGCTTTAATACATTGAAAATCTCATCTGGTTATCAAATTCTTTATATGTTTCTGAAATATCACCAGTAAATATCATAATCTCATTCAAAGTTTTTTTTCAGTGTCCGAACTAAGAGGAATTAAATCAATATAAACAAGCTGAAATCCTTTTCATATATTTTCACAAGACTAAAATTAAAAGCACAAATTCAAATTCTATAAATATGGGGGTAGCACCTAACATATATATATATATATATATATATATATAAATAAACAACCACTTGTGTTAAAGCAAAGCTCGTCAGTAAAATGAATTGGAGCACTCTGGCTGATTGGCATTTGTTTACATTCATAAAAACAATATTCTAGATTTAGCTGTTTCTCTCTGTCAAATGGAGATAGCTCAGCGGCAGAAACTCTGATTGACACCAAACTGGTTGGGTTTCGATCTGATATTTCTTCAGATGTCTAGTCACACTGTGGAGCTGCAAAACAGTACTGTCTGTGAATGATATATATATATATATATATATATATATATATATATGGAGATTGAGTACATTCCTGGGTAGGTGTTTGCCTTTTGAATTTTCTTTCATTTCTCTGTTATCTGTTTGTCACACTGTCATGTCCACTAAAATATCAAATACAATAAATTATAAACCAATCACACTCAAGAAAATACTTACATCTTAAAACACACCAATAAAATCATAGAATACAAATCAAAAAGTTTGTTGTTAGTCATCATTATTTTTAGGTAGATACTGCCCAAATATCATGCGGATGTAGTAGAAGACATGTGCCCTTTTAGGGCCAATTAGGAATAAATAAATTATTTAATTCTGGAGCCGATTGTGTTACAAAAAAGTGTATAAAAACACACAAAACGGTTTCAGAAACCATTCAGTGATATACCTAGACAACATCATGATGTTCAAAGTGATCAGTAGTGATGGTGACATTATGCCTCCATTCATTTTCACACAGGGTCTCACATTCAACATGGAGGCCTACATCAAGTGCCTTGTGGGGGTAGTCCTGTCTTGCATGAAGAGGGTGGCTGATAGAAGACCCTATATCTGGCAACAGGAAAAGAACTGGTACCCAATCATGGCTGTCAGACTATTTCTGCAACCACATACCCCTTACATCTGAACTGCTAACACCCCACACTGCAGCCCCCTTGATTATTATTTGAGGGGCACAGTTGAGTGAGAGACCAACAAAATTCTTTATAAGACCAAAGAGGAATGAAAAGCAAGGCTTATAGCAGCATTCACCAACTTAAACAAAGAGACCACCCAGAAGAGTTACAGGAGACTCCAAAGTTGTCTGGAGGCTGTGGTTGAAGCCAATGGCGATTTTATTGGATAAATCTACTCTTTAGTATTTCAAGATATTTTTGTGCAATTTTGGTAAATATATCTGTTAAAATAAGATGTCAGTGTTATTTTCATTTTTGCGTAATTTATATGACAATTTATCCATCATGCTATATATATATATATATATATATATATATATATATATTGATGCATGTTTCATTAAATAATACAGACAAGTTTTGTCTATTTTAAGCAAATTCCTTTCATATCGTCTGATAAGCTTAATAACATTTTCATTGAAAGACGAAAGAAAATCACCATATTGATACATGTTTTTTTAATCCTATCTAAGCTTTTGGCTTACATAAGCCATCATCAAAGATTACTATAGGAATTTAAGTATATATACTTAAATGTATTATATACTTAAATGTTTATAATTGATAACAGAAGCCGTTGGTTTATACCAACTGCTTCCCATACTTAACACTTCTCATTTTCACTATTGTGTGGTCATGTGTGGTGTCATGGGCCACTGTGCAATTTTCACTTCCAACGTCTTTTATGCACAAGTTTGTCGTTGCTTGGAAATCTTCAAAAAAACAGACTTATTGCTATGTCCATGTATTGTTTAATTTGTTGTAATGTAACTGTCATTTTTGATGAAGGCTTATGTAAGCTGAAAGCATAGATAGGATTAAAAACATGTATCAATATGGTGATTTTCTTTCGTCTTTCAATGTTTAAAAAAATATCTCATTTCTCCTTTTGCCCCTGTTATCTTTTCCTCTTGCTATGTGTCCAGTATACTTCCATTTTTATATTTTATTCTATGCTATTATTAGACCAACATAATACACATTCAAACTATATATGGAGACCAAATAAATGCAGGCAAAATAATAAGTCTAGAATCCAATTTTACTTGCCAAATATTTTATTTTCAAAATAATCTCCTTCCTTATTAATAAATTTCATAAATTAAATATTTATACAGTGAAATTTCACCTCAAAATGTATTCCTCCAGATAAATATAAATTAATATATATATATACATATATATATATTTGCATATATATATATATATATTTATATATATATATATATATTTATATATATATATATATATATATATATATATATATATATATATATATATATATATATATATATATATATATATATATATATATATATATATATATATATATATATATATATATATATATATATATATATATATATATATAC